GGATGGACCTGAGAAATAGGGGGCACGCCGTGGACGAGAGGCAGAGGAGGCCGTGATAGAGCGGTTCAGCCTTTGCAGAGGAGGCGCCAGATTAGGGGTCATTGTGCAGGGAGCAGAGGAAAGGTAGAGGATGGCGAGAGGAGCTGTTGTAGGAGCGAAGAGGGGGTTAAGAGGACCCGTCCGCTCCTCGCACAATCGAGTGGTGTGTGTCGCCAGTCCGGTCCGGCCCGTTCCTGAATTCCCGCACTAAGCATGGTGGGTGTTCCCAGTATGGTTAGGCCCGTTCTGCTCTAGCATCAAGCCAGTGGTGCGCATCGCCAGCCCGGTCCAGCCTGTTCCTGTCCCTCGCAACCACCAGTGGTGGCGTCGCCAGCCGGCCCGGCCTGTTCCTGCTCCCCGCACCAGGCCAGTGGTGCGGTTCGCCAGTCCGGTACGGCCCGTTCCTGCTCCCCGCACCAAGCCAGTGGTGCACGTCGTCAGCCCAGTCCGGCCCGTTCCTGCTCCCCGCACCAGTCCAGTGGTACGCGTCGCCAGTCCGGTACGGCCCGTTCCTGCTCCCCGCACCAAGACAGTGGTGCGTGTGTCCAGTCCGGCATGGCCCGTGCCTGTTCCACCGGTGCCTGGTCCGGCACCGGTCAGCTGCTCCACTCTGGAGCCAGAGCAATCCGCTCCACCGGGGTCCAGTCCAGCTCCGGTCAGCGGCTCCACTCCGGAGCCAGAGCAGTCCGCTCCACTGGTGCCTGATCCAGTTCCGGTCAGCGGCTCCACCCCGGAGCCAGAGCAGTCCGCTCCACCGGTGCCTGATCCAGTTCCGGTCAGCGGCTCCACCCCGGAGCCAGAGTAGTTCGATCCACCGTCGTCGGGTCCAGCTCCAGTCAGCGGTTCCAGTCCAGACCCAGACGTCAGCCCCTCTCCAGGTTCGGGGTCTCCCACACCAGGGTCCAGACAGGGCGTGGTACTTCGTGGGAGGAAGGAGAGAGGAAGCAGCGCGCCAAGGTCCAGACCAGACCAGGGGCGCAACGGGGAGGTGGAGAGTAAGTGGTGGTTACACCCGGAGCCGGATCCGCCTCCGAGGCGGAATGCCCATCCAGCCCCTACCCTGTTAGGTTTATGTGGCGCGGTCGGAGTCTGCACCTTTGGGGGGGGGGGGTTACTGTCACACCCTGACTCAGGGGACGGTTATTTGTTGAGTCAGGGTGTGTATATTTCGGTTGTGTGTTATTTCTATGTTTAGTTTCTAGATCGTTTAGATCTATGTTGGCCAGGGTGGTTCCCAATCAGAGGCAGCTGTAGCTCTTTGTCTCTGATTGGGACCATACTTAGGCAGCTTTTGGCACCAGTCAGTTGGGATCTTGTTCCGTGTGAGGTATGTTATTTTGTCTACCTTGGACTTCACGTTTCGTTTGTTGTTTTGTCATGTGTTCAGTACGTAAATAAATATGAATACATATCACGCTGCGCCTTGGTCCTTCTCGTTAATGAGCGATCGTGACACTGTCAAATATTTTGGTACAAATTCTAATTGGGATGTTGATTTTGAATAATTTCATTTTTATTGCATACAATGCCCTGTGGGCTTTTTCTTTGAGTGCATTCACTGCCATATTAAAGTTTCCCGATGCAGATATGGTCAGACCAAGGTATGTGTACTTTTTAGTGTGTTCAATTATGGTGTTGTTCAGGGTGAATTTATATTTGTGTTTCTGACATCTGTTTGTTTTTGTTGGAAAATCATGATTTTAGTTTTTTTGAAATTTACTGCCATGGGCCCCAATTATGGCAATATTGCTCTAGAATGTTAGGGTTCTGTTGAAGACCTTCTTGGTTGGTGATAGAAGTACCAAAGTCATCAGCATATAGCAGGTTATTTTAACTCTGTGTCAAATATTGTGCGTCCTGGGCTGGAGAATGGTCCAACATGTCTGCTAATTCATTGATATAAATGTTGAAAAAATTTTGGGCTCAAACCCGCCGGGCCCCGGGCCCCCACCCCTAATTGGGTTTGTAAATTTTGTTTTTTTGGTTTTTTTTTGTTATTTGGGGGACACTTTTTTTTCTGTGGACTAATTTTTTTAAATCCTAACCTTTTTCCACCAAGCCCACTTTGGGGAATTTTGGGAGAATAGCCCCTTTATAACCAAA